ATATATATATATATATATATATATATATATATATATATATATATATATATATATATATATATATATATATATATATATATATATATATATATATATATATATATATATATATATATATATATATATATATATATATATATATATATATATATATATATATATATATATATATATATATATATATGCACACACATTTTTTTTGAATAAATTTATTTGACTGTTCTATAAAAAAACATAGAAAAGAAGAAAAATGTGTAAAATGCAATGAGTATCAAATCAGCTTACTAGCATTAAACATCAGATTAATGATGCTTAATATTAAGCTTTGAATCTCAGAAATAAATTGCATTTTACAATGTATTTACATAGAAAAGTCTTATTTTGAAAAGCAAAACCATTTCACTGTTACTGTTTGTAACTTATTTACTGTATTTTTGTGATAGATGCTGCTTTAAAGAGCAAAGAAATTTAAATAAAAGAAATTAGCAACATCACCAATCAATTGCAGATGACTGTGCAATTTAGCCTGCATGCGTCAGTACACTAAAGATGAATAACAGCCAGAACATACATTTCCTATTATGATAAAAGCAGAACGGCAATGATTAGGTCCAGAAATAAAATATCCATCCTATGCACACTAATTAAAAAGCCTTGCAAAAAAGAGAAGAAAACAAAACTCATATACAGCTTTAAAACTCATAAGCTCTTGAACTCCATAGGAAAGAAAAGAGAAATGCAGTGTTTAGCGTTAATGTGACGTTTATATGGTAACAGTAGTGTTAGACTATTTACAAATGAAAAGCTCTGGAGAAGCAAACTAACAATAGGAAACAAACTCACCCCGTCTTTTTTATCTCTCTCCAGAGCTCCGTTGAGGAAATCCATCGCTACGTCTTCATTTTCATCCAACCACTGGATCACGAACGGCTCGAACCATCTGAACAAAGATAGCACAATTATATAGTTATTTATTTAGCACATTACATACCAAATGGTAATTCAAAGTGCTTTACATAAACAGGAATGAAATAATACAAGTATGTATGAGTATGAGAAATAAAAGAGGTTTATGCTGCTTATGTCACATGCTGCTTAAGTCTCTACACTGTAAATTTCTGTTAAACTGAACAGTGATGTTAAAACTTCAACTATACAGTTTAACAAAGTGACTTTTATTGATCATTTAGTCATTTTAAATAATATAATATATAAGAAATAATAATATAAAGAGAAATAAGTCTGTCAAATAACAGAACATGTACTGGCAGTCTATTAGAAGGTTTTTGTACCACTAACACAGACAATAAAGCACTTTATTATCATTAAAAGTGTTCATGAAAGTCACTTTTTTTCAAGTTTTTTAAGGTTAAAAGTTGTTGGAAGAAAGATCAAGATCCCATAATGCAGTTCAAAAGCAGAAATAAATAAGGAAAAAGTTAATAAATGAAGGCGAGGCGGTGGTACAGTAGGTAGTGCTGTCGCCTCACAGCAAGAAGGTCGCTGGTTCGAACCTCGGCTCAGTTGGCGTTTCTGTGTGGAGTTTGCATGTTCTCCCTGCCTTCGCGTGGGTTTCCTTCGCGTGCTCCGGTTTCCCCCACAGTCCAAAGACATGCGGTACAGGTGAATTGGGTAGGCTAAATTGTCCGTAGTGTATGAGTGTGAATGTATGTATGGATGTTTCCAAGAGATGGGTTGTGGCTGGAAGGGCATCCGCTGCATAAAACATGTGCTGGATAAGTTGGCGGTTCATTCCGCTTTGGTGACCCCGGATTAATAAAGGGACTAAGCCGACAAGAAAATGAATGAATGAATCCAATTAATTTTTTTTTTCAGTGCATGTAGCTGATGTTTGTAGCTGACACTTATTGAATTATATGCAATAATTTTTGCAGTGTTATAAGATCTTAAATATGACATTTAATTAGATTTTTAGGAAAATAGATTCATAGATGCATCATGATTCTTTCTCTAATGATCCTGAATTGATTCTCAGACGTTCAGAATCGACTATGTGCTGTAATTACATTGTAACGGTGCAAAGAGAGGCAAATAAATGAAGTCTTGTGTACAATAAAACTAGTTCTTTGTGGCTCTGAACTACAGTAAAAGCTAATATAATTTCCAAATACATAACATTTTGGGCTTTGAAGATATATCTTTGTTAAAAGCATATAAACTAAAAAAAGTAACACTTTTAAAAAAGAATAAAAGAACAATTAGTTTTTTTTATAATTGCGCTTTGATATCTGCCGTTTCATTGTTACATTCAGATGCTGAAATGTAACTTTGCTACAAAAATAATTCAATTTTCAAGGGGACCTATTATCCACCTTTTTACAAGATGTAAATTAAGCTCAGAATATCCCACAAAAATGTTTCATTACTCTCTGAAACTCATCCTTTTAGGCTGTGTTCACACCAGACGCTGAAGGAGTATCAAGCACGATTGATTTACATGTCAAGTCAATGCAAACTCGCAAATAGACATCATACGGCGCGATACATGCAAATGGTGCAGTGCGTATTTGACATGCTCAACGTGCATTTTGCGCGAATCGATTAAGTTAAAAAATCTGAACTTAAGCGGACATTTGCGCCACGTTAACCAATCAAGAGCTTACTCTTGTGGGGGCGTTTAATCCTCCAGCCGACACCAACAACTGTTCGTCAAACTTGGCTCGGCTCAGTGGACTCAGAGATGGCACTAAACGTATCGACGCTGTTTTTCAGCCTTCATAAATCACATAAACACAGTTATTTTCTTAATAAAATCCATGTTAGCAATTTATCAATGAAGCTAGAGTCACCGGGCAGACAGATGCCCTGCCCATCACGCGAATCCGCGTCTGTTCTGAAGTGAATTTGACGCACGAATATCACAATTTATCCGCACGTTCCACGTCTGGTGTGAACACACCATCAGGCTTTGATCCTAACTGTGACGATTTGGTGACTGTCTCTTTAAATTCAAATGAGATTGTGCTCTTTTCAAAAGAGGGCGGAGCTATAAATGTGTGTGCCAGCATAGTATACATGTAAATATGACAAATCAAAGACTTTTTAAAGACTCCACTTTTCTTGTCGCTCATTAATAATGTAGTCATTGTGTTTTTATAAATATCCCTGCATACATTTCTTACATTCAAATGTTTATCATTTAAATTGATCCCTATGGTAACATACTGAACACGTACTTTCACCAATCCGCTTGCAAATGCCACCATCTTTGGTATTAATTCTAACTTTAATCTATTAGTTTATCCTAATAAACGTTCAGCAAATGCACTGTTACCCACTCCCCAAGTCGCTCATGTTAAAATGATCTCTTTCTCACTGTAAAATCAATTGTCCTGGAGCTGATTTTTGATTGACAGCTGGTCCCGTCTGTCATCCCGCCTCTCCACACTCATAACTCACAGTAATGAATGAGTGACTTTCTGACAGCAGACAGCAGCCAATCAGAGGCCAGCGTGTGTCTGCAGATGAATGATGGCTTATGAATGGACGGATCAGCTCACTTGTTGCATCCCATAGTCACTTTTTCGCCCCATTGACTTCCATTTATATGCATGCGAATGTGGCAGAACAGAAATGCAAGCTTGTGCCATAAGTTTTGCATACAGTTGAAGACAGAATTATTAGCCCCCTGAATTATTCACCCCTCTGTTTAATTTTTTTTCCCAATTTCTGTTTGATGGAGAGCAGATTTTTTTAACACATTTCTAAACATAATAGTTTTAATAACTCATTCTAATAACTGATTTATTTTATCTTTGCCATGATGACAGTAAATAATATTTGACTAGATATTCTACAAGACACTTCTATACAGCTTAAAGTGACATTTAAAGGCTTAACTATGTTAATTAGGTAAACTAGGCAGGTTAGGGTAATTAGGCAAGTTATTGTATAACAATGATTTGTTCTGTAGACTATCGAAAAAAAAATAGTTTAAAGGGGCTAATAATATTGATCTTAAAATTAAAAAAAAAAAAATTAAAACTGCTTTTATTCTAGCCGAAATAAAACAAATAAGACTTTCTCCAGAAGAAAACATATTATCAGACATACTGTGATTTTTTTTTGCTTTGTTAAACATCATTTAGGAAATATAAAAAAAGAAAAAAAAAATCAAAGGGGGCCTAATAATTCTAACTTCAACTGTATGCCAATATGCGCACGCAAGCGGAGCAACGCGCTCACGGCTTTCCCAGCCTGATCTCTCGAGAAAACGTAAGTATTTTACGTTTTGGCAGTTTAGTGGCTAATTCGTACGAGTTCAGTCATAAGAAAATGTACGAATTTAAAAAGGAGGCGTGGCACCTAACCCCACCCCTAAACCCAACCGTCATTGGGGGATACGCAAATCGTACTAAAATGTACAAATTAGATCGTATGAATTTGTACGAATTAGCCACTAAATGAAAAAGTTACGAATTGCCGTGAGATTGTGTTGGCTTTCCGGGTGCACCCAATAGAAAACATCTCATGCAGTAGCGGTGAGAGTTGTGCGTGGCTTTCAGTGCAATGTAAACAAAAGATATGCTAGACGAATTATTATTAAAATAATTATGTATGAACGCAGATGATAACAACAGTTAATTTACATACTTAGCTAACATAACGCCTAAATTTGCATTAGATATATTCTAATGTTCTTCAGACTGTAGTATCCCTAATTGTTATGCAGTTCAAAACATAACATATGAATGTGTCTGAAGGTAGAAGAAGCCAATGCACTGCTTTTGTCGTGCTTTGAAATACAACATTTGAATGTTTGTAAAAAGTCTATTGTACAACGCAGTGATGTTAAGTAGTTTCAAATACAATATGTGATCATTTTAATGTAGAAAAAGCCAACATGGGTGTCTTAAGCAGCAAAAATATGCATATGCATATGGGGTCTTACAGCCTGATCTCACAAGGAAACGTAAGTATTTAAGTTTTGCCAGTTTAGTGGCTAATTCAGATGAATTCGTACAAGTTCAGTTGTACGAAAATGTACGATTTTAAATAGGAGACGTGGCACCTAACCCCACCCCTAACCCCAACTGTCATTGAGTGATGAGCAAATCTAAATTGTACAAATTAGATTCAAATTCATAAGAATTAACCACTAAATCAAAAAGTTGTGAATTGCGTTGGGTCTTATATGCTGTTGTGTCATCACTCATCTTGCAAGTCATATCTCTCCGGCCCCTCATTTGGGATGTTTTTCATAAACCGGCCCCCATGACAAACTAATTGAATAGCCCTGTTGTAATTTAAATAAAATATAATCCATTAAATAGACTAAGCATTCATTTAGTTGTTTAAGTGTTAAACGAGATGAAAGACCATTTAAACCCAAGCGCCGTCAGCAGCAGCAGGCTAGCGCAGAAACTCCATTAAAAATACTGTGGTAAAATAAATTCCCATATTTTAAAAACATGGAGTGGAACAATGGAATTTAATGCAGTGCTTCTTGTAGATTTTAAAACCCACTTTATATCATATGTCAATCAGGCAGTGAAGATCATTGACCTTTAAAGAAATCAGATCTTGAACATATGGAAGCTAAATCCTGCCAATTTTAAATAAATCAAATAAACATTGGAAATGAAAATGAAAACCAGATTAACAATTTCATTTTAAAACACTGTTCGCAAAATATCTGCCAAAATTGAAAATGAAATTAAATTATTTAATTTTTTTATTTTCATTTTCACTTTGACAACACATCGTCCCTGTCAAATTGATAATTAAATTGAAGTTGCCAATTTAACATTTCATTTTCACTGCATTTCCACGTCAAGACTGCCAAAATTAAAATAAAAAGCCAAACTGAAAAATAAAATGCAAACACAATATTTACAAAGCGTATTATTAATATTCACACTATAATAGTGACACAATTCAAATGAAAATGTAAATTGAAGCTTTCCTTTTATTGACACTTTTTCATTTCAGTTTTCATTTTCGATTTCATTTTCAACTTCAAGCTGTATGCAAAGCCTATGCTAATCAGTGGGAGGGGCGTATTCAAGTAACGTCGAGTGCTTTCACATAGCTCGAGGGCAGAAGCAACGTTTTGATGGATGAGACAGCGTGAGTTTACTAGTGTAAATACAGTATAACAGAAGTAAAATGGCAAAAACTGTTAGTCAGCTTTTATGTGAAGCAGCTGCTGCATTGATACAGCAAGAGGAAAACGAGACACAGGAGAACCAAACGTCAAACTTTCGTCCTGCATCAGGAGTCGCGGGCTTCCTCGGTGGGCAGAGAAACTGCAGCGTAAGTGCGGTAGGCCTTGTGATAAAGTCGTTTAGTATACTGTATTAGGTCTTGTGACGTTAACAACTTGTTAGTACTAAAATCTTTGAAAGACCGCTAAATCATCTCGGTAAAGTTGGTTTTAGGTTTGATATTCGCCACACAGTCATGCACGCAGTGTTAGGGATCATCTGCAAATTAAAATAATTTCATTTCCTTTTCAATTTTGGCAGACATTTTGCGAACAATGTTTTAAAATGAAATTGTTAATCTGATTTTCATTTTCATTTCCAGTGTTTATTTGATTAATTTAAAATTGGCAGGATTTACCTTCCATATGAACGTGGTGATTTTTTGTAACGGCAAGCCAGTTCATTGGAAGCACTTGGGCTGGCTGACTAAAAATTAAAAGCCTGTGCATATACACCATTGTGACCTAAACTAAAGTGTTACCAAAAAGTCTAGTGAACGTGTGTGTAGTGAACTTGTGTGAGCAATGTAAGGCAGCGATGAAGTGAACTCACAGCGAATACTCTGGAGGGACGCCCTTAAACGCCGGCAGATCGCGCACGTACTCGTTGTAGAACCACTTGACTTTGAAGTGCAGATTCATGTACTCGGTGCTCTTGCAGAGACGATGCTTGTCATGTTCTGCAAACGAAGGAACAAAAAACAAACACTGAGTTACACAACAGTTAGACATGTGGACTTCAGTGGTCGTTGAAATGTACAGAGCTGCAGGGTTCAATAACCAGGGTTTCTGCAGGTCTCATCAAGTCAAACTGAAGACTTTTTAAGACAATTATGAATGAAACGTTTAGATTTATACATTGCTAAAGAAATTATTCTAATGGCCTGTTTTTCTTTCCAACTGACAAGGTTTGAAAACTACAATATACTAAATGTATGCACAACCGTCTGTCCAGTTCAGTGTCTTCACCGTGTAGCTATAAATACATTAGAGTAAAATAATAATAATAATAATACAAACATTACAATTAAACCATATTAGTAAACAAGGTAACAATTTATAATGATGGTCTATTTGAGTATTTGTAGACTTGTCTGCTTAATATCTGCTGATTCTGCTCTTTCAACAGACATTTAAGTGATGTTTAATTTATTAGACTAATTTCGAGAGGACGTGCTCATGATTAAACCAGCTGGCTCATATTAGCTAACCACCATCCTCCAATCAAGGACCCCTAGTTCCTATATATATATATCTCCTCCTTTTCCACTTACAACTATCTTCGTCTTGAAGAATCCCCCCTCTACTGTCACGGTCGGTGAGGGAAAAAAAGGAGTGCAGACCCAATTGCAGAAAAATGTAGGAGTATTTATTATAAACTACAAATAAAAATAAAAGGCAAAACAAAACTACCCCGAAGGGGAAAACATGAATAAAAAGGCAAAAACAAACTTGACAGGGCTGGCAGGACAAAACAGGACTGGAGACAACAAGACAGAGTAATATCGACGACGAACTGGCAAAGGACTAAAAACATGAGGGGGGTTATAAAGCAAAAAGTAAATTGACATACAGGTGAACATGACAAACTAATAATGAGTAAACAAGGAGGGTGGGACTAGACAATAGACGGGAGAGCGCATGACACAGAGAGACAATACAAGCCATGCGCTCACATAACACAACACTGAAGCACACGACTAAAGCACGTGACCACAATGTAAACACCGAGCCACGTGCTTTGACAGGACGCAAGACATGAGCACACGATAGATGAACACCTTATCGTGCGCTCACACATAAGCAACGCGCATGCTTCATCTCAGCGCCAACCAAAACTGAAACCAACAAGACGGAGGCGCCGAGAATAAAGCAGCGCGCTGCTGACAGAACAAACACAAACACTAGTACAAGCGCGCACACAGAGACAGAAACAGGACCAGACATGGGTAGTGTCAGAGCTCTGCCACCAAAACAAGAATTTACAAGACCACAGTGGCAGAACCCTGACACTCTTCCCCCTTCTTCCACCTTTATCCAAAATAGGTGGCTCGGCGGCCCAGCAACCAGCAGGAATTCCAATAGCTCTGGCTCCCTACTTGAGCTTCTGGTATCTCTGCGTGGTGCTGGCACGTTTCCCCCCCAGGGGTATCAGTTCTCTTCCAAAGCCTAAAAATTGCTCTGCATTATAGACCTCCTAAACCTCAGCCTCTTTTACTAGCCGTCTCGCTCACAGGAAGTTCACCTTGACCTCAGCTGCGGGGGAGTTTTGAGATCGCCCTGAGCTCAATCTCCCCTCGCCCCACAAAGGGAGGGAGCCCTGGACTCGAGGAATGCCTTGAGCTCAGGGCTCTCTCCCAGGACAGCATGCCAAATGAGCTTTCGTAAGTCATGAGCTAAGTGTGAACTCTTGAACTGACTATAAGAGACTTTGTGAGTACATGTCAGCTAACACTAACCCCAACCCTAACAGTCTACTTATAATCTAAGGAGAATTAGTTGGCTTGTAGACACACTGTAACTTAAATTTAACAAAATGGACCATCAAAATAAATTGTGACTAAAAACAGATTTGATAAATAAAATTTTTATTGAAATAGATTGTTGGAGATTAGATGGTTGTTGGGTAGCTTTACATGAACATAAGAAAATTAAGACCCATTGAAAATTGATTTAAGGCCTACAACACAATATTTTAATGAATTTAAGACATTTTAAGGTCTACATTTTTAAAAGTGTGATATATTTGAAGACTATTTTAGACCCTGTGGACACCCTGACAAACAGGCTTATCATCATGCACTGGCGGTAAAACTGTTGCGAAACATGTCAACTTTTAAAAAGCTGATATTATACATCAAAAGGAAAGAAAAAAATAAATGAAAACGAAATAGGAAACTAAAACAAATTAGTGATGTTAAAAATAATAACAACACTAAAATGAAAATTAGAAAAATGACACAAGCATAACTACAATAAAAACTAATTAAAACGAAAAAACTAATAAGGATTATCCATCATTAATAATTTAGCATTACTATTAATTGTTAATCATTATTATAAACTTGATTATATAAGCAAGAATTAAATATTTATATGTATATATTATAAACAAACACACAAGCAAACAAAAAATGAATAAATAAATAAATAAATAAATAAATAAATAAATAAATGATAAATAAATAAATCAATAAATAAATTTGACCTGCAGCTGATCGAATGATTCAATAGACAAGGCATTAAATTGCCTACTGGATACAAATGATTAACATATTTTCAATAAAATATTCAATATTTACAAAGACAACTAAAATTAATGGGAGTAAAATGCACAGAATAAGGGCATAAAAATCTTAAAAATGATCATAAACACTGAAAAAAATTGTCACCTGCTACGAATGTTAG